CGCGCACAGCGGCCAGCCAGTCTGGCGCGACCGGTGCGGCCGCGGTGGCGTTGACCGCTGGGGACTTCGCAGCGCGTTTCGCAGGCACCGCCGGCGCGGCGGGCACTTCAGAGCGAGTCGGTGTCTCGGGCGGGCGCGGTATCATGGCGACGTGGACGACGGCAGACACGATGATGATAGTTGCGACGTTTGTGACGAGGAGGACGATGAGAACGGCAAGGGCGACGACGGCGCCGGTGCTGATCACGCCGATGGTGGTCACACCGGTGAAGGCTTGAGAAGAATGTCGGCATCCGCGTGCAGCCGACGGGCGCGAGGGGGCCGCCTGGATTACTTGACAGGGGTCGTGCCCCCCCCCCCCTTGCCCCCAGCAGGCGCGCAAAGACCTTCAGATATATTCGACGTTGGCGCGCGAGTTGTCTAAAGACGCCACAAAAGCGCGGGCGCCGTTTTTGATATGAGATCACGTTGCGAGCCAATTGTTGTTAAAATGAATCCGGGGGCCTCGGTCTTCAAAGCCTCATGACGCAAACGTTTTTGACGAATTTGCGGCATGCTCGTGTGACGACGCGCGCTCGTGGAATACATCTGCTGCATGGGATTCGTGAGCCCCAGAAGCGCGCGAGATTGTTCGAATGGTTGCGCGCGCGAGAGGCCCGCTTGTGCGCATCTGATGGCAGTGGTGAAGAACTTGTGGATTTCGAAAGACTTCGCAAGATCGCGCGCGTGCCGAGGTTCAGATTATGTTGCAACGCCCTTGCAACAAGTAGCGATGTTTGTATCAATCCCGATGGTGACACCCATGCGGGACCCAAGGTTCTGAAGCACCTCGGCATGCGCCCTCGACGACGCGCGGCTGTGGACTTTGCAGTTTGTGGCCAAGGGTGTTTTGAAAGTTTGTGGATTTTGACAAACGACTGCGCGCGCCCATAATTATTTGGCGAGGCAGAGGGGGGGCGGTACTTGCTGGGCTGGGATGGTAGGGCTTCATATTTCGAGTGAGCGATGGGGCATCATCATACGTGAGTCGTAAAATCCCAGCTCTCGTCGATCAGACGGGGAAGACGTAGACCCCAATCTCCAGTTAGAAAGTAGAACATACGTAGTGCAATTCTTAGTGCATAATTTGGAGTTGACATAACCATTGTTCGCGCAATCATCCGTCACACCCGCCCGCAATTTGGTCAGCAAAACCCATGCGGCGGCGATTGCGGTAAGTGCTTGGTGCTGCCTGGTGCATCGCTGCGGCCGCGCTATCCCCCGCATGCTCGCGCGCACAGCGGCCAGCTAAATTGGCGCGAACGACGCGGCCGCGGTGGCGCGGACCGCTGGGGGCTCCCCAGCACGTTTCGCAGGCAGCGCTGGCGCGTGGGCACTTCGGTGCGAGTCGGTGATCTAGGCGGTGGTATCATGGCGACGTCGATACCAGTAGACACGATGATGGTCGTAGTGATGACGGTGGCGATGCCCACGATGCCGACGGCAAGCATCAAGACGATGCTGATCACGTTGACGCGGCGACGGCGACATAGCCGCCAGACCAAGGGTCAGGCCTGGACTTCAGGCGGCGACGAGGGGCAGCGACGGGAACGACGGCGACAAAAGAGCCGCCACACGACGGTCAGGCCCGGTCCCTTGGACCACAAGTAACCGATCCAGCGTGCAAACAATATTTGGTTTATATATCTACCTGCATCGATCGGTGATTATCATTATATCTCTCTATAGTTGTTTTCTTCAAATATATGTATCACCTTATGGTATATCCTTATGTTTGTCCTTTCTCTCCCTCTCTCTCTCTCTCTTTCTTCCTCGTTCTCTGTCTTTCTCTCTATCTGTCTCGCTCCTTTCCGCTCTCCCTCCCACTATCTCCATCCGGCTGGCGGGGGGAACTGCTGCATCGCGATGGGGCGTATCCCAGATCCAGATCACTTGCACAACTGAACCCCACACGCGATGAAGCTGACCGTGGTGAAAGCGTTTCCTATTTGTTCATGTCAAGATCCCCTAAGAGCCTGAAGGGTTGTGCAGCAGACGCCAGGTCCAGGGAACCACTGGTGGATTTGGTTCGACCTCCAAAGGGTTTGACTAAGAACGAAATGCAGTTCACATCCAGGGAGGGCCCCTTTCATGTTATTTTGAATGGAGCGCGCTTCGCGTTGCAATGGTGATGAAGGAGGCTCCCGTTCGAGAATGTTCCGGGGGGTTCCAAGTCCGTCGAGACCCCCAGAGTGTGGTACCGCACAGTGTTGCCCGCTCATTTCGGCACACCCCTCATTCGCTTCGTGGCCTGATCTGGAGCTCCACCCATGGCCTCAATGGGCCCAAACGCATAGTGCCCCCCCGCCCGTTCCGGCACACCCGTCGCACGTTTCGTAGCCCCATGCGGCGTTCCACCTCATTGGGCGCCGGCGTATGGCGGCGCCGCACATTCTGGGCGCACCTTTCGCACGGTTCGTGCCATGATGTGGAGCTTCACATACGGCTCCAGTGCCAGGTTGCTCATGGCGGCGCCGCCCATCTCGGCACACCACTCTCGCAGTTTTCGCGGCCCCGTTGGGAGGTCCACCTGCGGCTCCAGGGTGGGCAGGTCCGCATGGAGGCGCCCCCCCATTCCAGCGCACCCATACGAATCGTGCTCCGCAGGGAGCTCCACAGATGGCCCCAGAGGGAGTCTCAGCATGGCGCTCCGTGAAGCTCGGCGCGCCCATCGCGCGCTCCGTGGTAACCCACATGGAGCTCCAAGTGCGGCCCCAGTGCGGCTCCCCGCGCGGGGCCCCAGGGGCAGGGTCCGCACGGCGGCCCCGCCTGGAGCTCCGCGTGCTGCCCCAGTGGGAGGGTCCGCGTGTCGGGGCCGCCCCCTTCGGCACGCCCCTCTTGAGGACCCCAGGGGAACGAACAATGGCATAAACATGAAAGACTAGGAGGTCCGCGCAGGTTTCTCGGATCCGCGCTGGACCCCCATGGCGGCGCCTCCGGCCCCCCTCCCTGGTGCGCTCCGCGCGCCAGGGAGGCGGGCCCCGCGCCGATGCGAGCAACCCTCGCGGACCTCCGAGGTTTCGTGCTTGTGTTGCTCTTCGTTCCCATGTATATATATATATACATACATACATATATGTAAATGCATATGCATATGCGTATGCATATGTATATAAATATGTACATGTTTATCTATATACATATATATATATATGGCGCCGCCCCCTCCGGCACACTCCTCGGGGGGGGGCCCGCCCCCTCCTCCTCCTCCTCCTCCTCCCCTCCTCCTCCTCCTCCCCTCCTCCTCCTCCTCCTCCTCCTCCTCCTTCCTCCTCCTCCTCCTCCTCCTCCTCCTCCTCCTCCGCCTCCTCCTCCTCCTCCTCCTCCTCCTCCTCCTCCTCCTCTTCCTCCTCCTCCTCCCCCCGTCGCTCGGTCTCCACCCGCGGCCTCGGGTGAGCGGAGTCCGTGCGCGCACTCCGCCGGTGGCGGGGCGCCTCTCGGGCTTTCGAGCTCCCTCCGCCTGCGGCCTTTGGCGAGGATGTTTGTTGCACGGTTTCCCCGCGGAGCTTCCGGCGTTGCAGCTGTTGGCGCTGTCCTGGCCGAAGGGATCGCTCCTCCTCCTCCTCCTCCTCCTCCTCCTTCCTCCTCCCTCCTCCTCCTCCTTCCTCCTCCTCCTCCCCCTCCTCCTCCTCCTCCTTCTCCTCCTCCTCCTCCTCCTCCTCCTCCTCCTCCTCCTCCTCCTCCGCCTCCTCCTCCTCCCCCTCCTCCTCCTCCTCCTCCTCCTCCTCCTCCTCCTCCTCCTCCTCCTCCTCCTCCTCCTCGTCCCGCGGACGGGGTGCGCGAGCCGTGCGATGCAGAAAACAATACGTTTCTCAAGAAGCGTCGGGGGGGGGGGCGTCGTTCCCGCCGGCAGCGCCGCATTGACCCCCGTCGCGGGTTGGCCACCGCGCGCCGAAGGCGCTCCGACCCCCGTCGCGGCGCGACGACGAGGCGAGGTTGACCCCCGTCGGGGGGGTACCCCCCACGCTTATTGTTAAGAAACGCAGGGCACTCGTGGCACGCCCCACAGAGGGAGTTCCGCACAGGGCTCCGGCAGGACATTTGCATGCGTCCCCCACCTATTTTGGCACATCCCTCACACGAGCTGTCCATGGGGATGTCCACCGCCAACGTTTCTTGAGGCTGCTCAGGGTTTTGGCCCATCTCCTGGCGAACTTCAACGTCGTGGGGCGAGCAGCCGACTGGCGGGCGGCAGTTCGCATTTCCAGTACAACTAAGTGTAGACACATGGTGTCCGCTTTGCTGACATAATTCCAGTTGAACCTGTTGAGTCCCTCCATGTGTTAGGACAGGGTGTTGCACACCAGACATTTCAGCATCTATGTATTACCAGAACTCTGCGTTTGCAGTTATCTGTGCACAGGAAGCGCTCTATGCTTCCAACTGTTTTTGAGGAGGCGGAGGAGGAGAACCTGTGAAAGGAGGAGGAGGAGGAGGAGGAGACACTGCAAAGGGATAAGGGGGAGTGGCATGAGGAGACAAGAGGAGGAGGGGCAGAAGTAGCCTGAGGTTGTGGATCAGGAGAAGGACGGAGAGGATGAGAAGGATTACAGATGTAGACGAGAAGGGCAGTGGGATGGGAGGAAGTGGAGGAGTGGCAGGAGAAGAGTGTGCCTTCTTCTGCCAGGATGTGTACTGTCTCAGCCAGGGGGCATCATGCATGATCGTCCGACGAGCGCACGAGCGAACATGGGGAGGAGGAGGAGGAGGAGGAGGAGGAGGAGGAGGAGGAGGAGGAGGAGGGGGAGGACCATGATTTCGAGGGAGACGAGATGATAACAGAAACGCCTCTGCTCTGCTGGGCGCGCTCTCACGCGGCGCAGGCATGCCCCTCCAAACGGGACGCGACAGTTTCTTGCCTCACTGGGCGATGAGCGTGCGTGTCTGTACCCGGTCTCCGCTCCCTTGCCCGAGGAAGGCCAGGAGGAGTGACGACCGGCCCACCGCTCCGCGGCGCCCAGGACCGCTCCCGCAGCCCGCGGCGCGCGACCGATGGGCTCGCGGCGCCGAGCAGCGCGACCGTGGCAGCCGCATGCGCTGGCCAGGCCGCCCCCTCTGCCTCCTCCGCCCTCGCGTGGGCGCCCACGCGTGAGCCTGGCCTGCCAGGTGTCGATCAGGGCTGGACCCAAACGGTGTTTTTGGCGGTTTCGTGGGCCGCTTTCATTCCACTTCGTTTTGCGGCAGAGGTGGGTGGAAGACAAAACCAGGGAAAGCGAACGCAAAACGAAAACGACAAACACCGTGTAGGTTCAGCCCTGGTGTCGATCGTGGGGGATGCCGTCGCTCCGGCCCACTTGCAGATGGAGCGGCGCCGGAGGCGGCGTTGTGGGTTGGCTGGAGCTCTCGGAGACGGCGGTTTGGGGAGCACCCCAGTTTTCGGCCCGCGCTTCCCACCATCATCCCCCCTCTGAGCGCCGCCGACGTTGGGCAGTCACTCCCGCGCGCATGTCAAGAGCTCCAGCGCCCCAAAGCACAACACCTGATCTCAGTTGTGCGCTCCTGCCTCCTACTCTTGTTCCTCTTCTGCTGTTGAATCGGGGCATGCGGAGGCGCATTTCGGGCCCGGTGGCAAGACGAAGCAGCCCATGGTGCGACAAGTCGTGCGAAGATAGACGTTGTGGGCTCCTCGGCCTCACGTGCTCAGGAGAGCACTCGAAATCCTCTGATATGCGTCCCCCGGGTCCGGTTTTTGAAGGCGCTGTTTTTGGAAGCGGGGGGGTACGGTTTAGTAGGTCGGTTTCTGTAGACCGAAGACGAGGGAGGCCGGAATATGAAGGCCCCCCGATGACGGCGGGGTCCGGAACATTAGGTTGCCCTTGAAGGGGAGGTCCGGTTTTTCAGGGGGGGGTGGGGGGGCGATGATCTCAGGGGGTGTCGCGTGGCGCGTCGGAGTGTTCGGGCCGCCCTGCGCTCTCCCCCCCCCCGGGGTGCGCACTGCTCCTGCGCCTCCCTTCGCCCTCCTCCCTTCCGGGGCAGCGGCAGGGGGGGGGAATAGGCACAGGGGGGGATGCCTCGACCCCCCCAATCGCCCATGGATCGCCGATGGGGGCCCGATGGCCCCACCCCGCCCAGGAAGGTGCGGATTCAGGATTTCGGAGGCCTATCGCCGATCTATCGGCGATGTATCGCCGATTCCAGGTCGATGCATCCCCCCCTGATGCCAGTCCCCCCCGCTATCGTTGCCCCTCATCCCTCGCCCTCCTGGCCTCCCTGGCCCGACCGCCCACACCCCAGAAGAGGAGCATAGGAGGGATGGCGGGAGGGAGAGGAGGCAGAGGAGGAGGGAGGAGAAGGGAGGAGAGCTCGAGCGATCGACCGGCGCTATGGCCGAGGTCAGGGTGCTCGAGAGGGTGGAGGGAGGGAGGAGGGTCGATGCACGAATGGCTTTTTCCTTGAAGTCCATGTCTCCGACGCGTTCCAGGCTGCTCGGCAACGAAACGACGGAGGGAGGGAGGGAGGGAGGGAGGGAGGGAGGGAGGGGAGGAGGAGGAGGAGGAGGAGGACGGGTGCACGGTGAAGCCGCACAGGAAGGACGGGCACTTTTCCCAAGCGCACCCTTGCATCCTTGCCTCCTCGGCCCACCCTAGGCCACTTTCGCTGTGTTTTGTTTGAAAAGCTTCGGAGTGGGCGTCCAAGGCCCTTGCATCCTCATCGCGTATCCTGATGACACGGGCCGGCTGTATGAGGCCCTGGGCGATCTGCGAAACTCCTCCCCCTCACTCCTCCTCTTCCTCCTCCTCCTCCTCCTCCTCCTCCTCCTCCTCCTCCTCCTCCTCCTCCTCCTCCTCCTCCTCCTCCCCCTCCTCCTCCTCCTCCTCCTCCTCCTCCTCCTCCTCCTCCTCCTCCTCCTCCTCCTCCTCCTCCTCCCTCCTCCTCCTCCCTCTCCTCCTCGGCCTGCTCCGAGACGACCCCCCGGCGAGGCGGCGCTGGCCCTGGCGCCGCAGCTGGCCCCAGGCCTCGGCCTCCCCGCCCAGCCGCTCCCGGCGATGCTGGCCCTGCCGCAGGCAGCGCGCACGGGGGGCGGGGCGGCAGGCCGGGCGGGCGAGGAAGCCCCTCCTCTGGTTCCTCCTTCTCCTCCTCCTCCTCCTCCTCCTCCTCCTCCTCCTCCTCCTCCTCCTCCTCCTCCTCCTCCTCCTCATGATCATCGCCCTCCTCCTTCCTTCTCCTCTCTCATCCTCCTCTGCCCTGCCTCCCCTCCCGCTCCCCCTCCCCCGGGCGGGGGGGGTGGGAGTGGAGGGAGGAGTGGAGGGAGGTCCGCGTGACCGCCCCTGCGCAGGCCCTGGCAGGAACGACGATACGATGTCGAAGGGCTGTCGGGTCCTTGCTGCGTACTACTTACGCAGGGGGTTTTGCTAGTCGCACGCGCAGCTCTTTTGTAGGTGTTGACGTTATGCGGATGACCTGACCTGACCCCCGGGCGGGGTGCGGGGAAGGAGGGGCTGCCGACTGGACCGTCAGAGTCAAGGAACCCAGACCCCCGACGTCGTGATGTTTTATCGAAACCTCGACCTTCAGAGGTCTGGACCCCTTCCCCGGGGCCGGCTTCTGATCCAGAATCGGTCATTCACGGTCCTGAGGCCAGGGGAGGGCCCCCAGAGGCCGAAAATAGCGAAACACCTCCCGTCGCGATGTTTGAGGTGCGCGGTCTGCCCGGGTTCGTTGAGACCGGCGACACAGAGATAACGTGCGACACGTTGGCAGATAAAGGAACGAATGGACAGGTCAAATACAACGACGTGCTGCTCTTGTACCAGCTGATCTGAGAGACCGGGTGGCTTGGCAGCCCGCTGTCTGCCGCCATTGCCTGCCGCCACGCGGCTCGGCGTCTGACTTTTGCGCTGCTTTTTGCGAGGGGTGAGCATGCTACGCATGGAATGAATTCAATGGAAATAAATCGCAGTGGATCCGTGAGTGGATCAATCTAGACTGATGAGGCTATGATGCCTCTTTTGATTTTGAGCCGGCTATGATGCCCGCTCGTGCCCACCCCGTCCCGTCTTCAGGGACTTCGCATCCTCCTATGATGGTAAGATGGGAAGGCGGGCCGCCGCCCCTGGCACTGCACGTACGGCGCCAGGTTTGTGGGGATTTGGTTCGACCCCCGCAGTTCCAGTGATGGAAACTGCAAGGGGTGTGAGGCCTCATGGTGGTCCTCACTGGTGAGGCCTATGATGGTCCTCACCAGGGGGGGGGGAGGGCAAGGGCGGACCAGGAGGAGGAGGACAGGGAGGAAGAGGAGGACGATGACGAGACAGTTGAGTTCAATGAACAGATTGAGCGCGAAGGCCTATGATGGTCCTTCTTCCCAAAACGAGCCTTGCTGATGGCCCCGAATTGGGTGCGAGGTGCCTATGATGGCCCCTCTGGTTGCCTATGATGGCGGCACTAGACGACCGGCAGGGGACTGGGTCCCGTTCACGGTCCATTAGGGGTGAGCATGCTACGCATGGAATGAATTCAATGGAAATAAATCGCAGTGGATCCGTGAGTGGATCAATCTAGACTGATGAGGCTATGATGCCTCTTTTGATTTTGAGCCGGCTATGATGCCCGCTCGTGCCCACCCCGTCCCGTCTTCAGGGACTTCGCATCCTCCTATGATGGTAAGATGGGAAGACGGGCCGCCGCCCCTGGCACTGCACGTACGGCGCCAGGTTTGTGGGGATTTGGTTCGACCCCCGCAGTTCCGGTGATGGAAACTGCAAGGGGTGTGAGGCCTCATGGTGGTCCTCACTGGTAAGGCCTATGATGGTCCTCACCAGGGGGGGGGGAGGGCAAGGGCGGACCAGGAGGAGGAGGACAGGGAGGAAGAGGAGGACGATGACGAGACAGTTGAGTTCAATGAACAGATTGAGCGCGAAGGCCTATGATGGTCCTTCTTCCCAAAACGAGCCTTGCTGATGGCCCCGAATTGGGTGCGAGGTGCCTATGATGGCCCCTCTGGTTGCCTATGATGGCGGCACTAGACGACCGGCAGGGGACTGGGTCCCGTTCACGGTCCATTAGGGTAGCATGCTACGCATGGAATGAATTCAATGGAAATAAATCGCAGTGGATCCGTGAGTGGATCAATCTAGACTGATGAGGCTATGATGCCTCTTTTGATTTTGAGCCGGCTAGGATGCCCGCTCGTGCCCACCCCGTCCCGTCTTCAGGGACTTCGCATCCTCCTATGATGGTAAGATGGGAAAACGGGCCGCCGCCCCTGGCACTGCACGTACGGCGCCAGGTTTGTGGGGATTTGGTTCGACCCCCGCAGTTCCGGTGATGGAAACTGCAAGGGGTGCTCTGCCGCCCCTCCGCGAGGGCTTCGCCGCCCCCGCGAGGCGGCGGGCCCGCGCGGCGGGGCCCGGGCCCTCCAGAAAACGCGCCTGTCTGCACGTCCGGGCCCCGCCCCCCGGGCCTCAAGTCGGGCACGGCCCTCTGCAGCTACACGTGTTCTATTTGTTTCGAAAGCTCTTTGATTTTTTGGGGGCCAAGATCCTTTCATTTCTAGTTTTTCTATCCTGGGCCTCTTCCCGGCCACTGGGGGGCCAGGAACAATTAGAAACGGGCACGCTTAGAAATGATCACGGTTAGACATGAACGACGTGTACGATGTTCCAACCTACTTTAGGTTTGATCACCAGAGAGAATCTCGATCACCAAGAAAGCACCGAAAGTGGGGAGCGTCCACGTGTAGAGCCCATGGAGGCGATACTCGCTTGACACTCTGTCGATACTTGGCTCGAAATTATGTCTGGGCTATGGTCTTTAAGTGCGATGGGAGCAGCATAGCTCTACAGGAGGAATGTGCAAAACAAATGAGCAGCAAATCGTATGGGGACGATGTTCAGACTATTGGGGCCATTTTCGGTTTTTGTGTTGGATCCTTTTTAATGTTTCATCCACAATCCGCCTGTAGGAGGACACGCCCGACCTGACCCTGGACATCTGAGTCACCCCGGCTGCGGGGACGAAGGGCGAAGTGAAGTGTGAAGGTGGGGGGCGAGGGGGCGAGGAAGGGGGGGAAGTTCGGGAGAGAAGAGAGCGACAGGGGACGAAGTGTGGACTCGGAAGGTGGGAAGGTGGGAAGGGGGAGCACAGGGGATGTCGGAGGTGGGATGGATGGGAGGATGGAGGAAGAGGCGGGCCGGCGGGGGTCCGGGGGGGGGGGAATGGAGGAGGATATGCGAGAGTCTTGGACGAGGGACGGACTCTTGGAAATTCTTTCCTGTGCAGCCGCGCTGCTGGGCATATCTGCCACTGCGCTGTATGCGGGGCGGCCGGGGGACCTTGGGGGAGGGTTGGAGAGGTGGGAGATGTTGGTATAAGGATTGTTGGAAGCAGAGAGACAGAGAGAGAGAGAGAAAGAGAGAGAAAGAGAGAGGAGAAAGAGGAAAAGAGGGAAACCGAGAGGGAATCAGAGAGAGAGAGAGAGAGAAATATAATTATTAAAAGACAGCGAACACATGAAAGAGAGAAACCCAACTATAGAGTCTATAGAGAGACATGGAGAGGGATAGTGTGTGTGTGTGTGTGTGTGCCGCGTGCGTGCGGCAGGTGCGAGTTGCTTTTGTTCCGCAGCCGCAGAGGAGGCCAGCAGATAGCATTTTGCTGCTGGTCAACGAGGTCCCTTACACCCTGGTGTATGAACGCGCCTCAACTGAACGGCCTCTCGCACCGACCGTGTCAGATCTTGCGCGCGGCTAGCACAGCTGTTCCCCACCCGCATAGTCAGTCAGGATTCGGCGACCCTCGCTGGCCAGCCTCGTTGAAAAAAACTTCGATATGGCCCTCCAAGTCCATTGCATCCTTACCGTGCATCCCTCTGATACAAGTTCACTGCACATCGGGAGGGAAAGATGGCGGGGAGCCCTCGGCGGCCGTGACCTCCGCAGGTGCTGCCGCTGGCAGACCCCCTGCAGCGGGCGCTGCTGGCATCCCCGGGGCAGCTGGCGGAGCCTTCCGCGGAGCCCATGCAGCAGGCGCTGCTGGCGGCCCCGCAGCAGCAGGCGCGGGAGCTCGCACAACGCGCCCCTCGCCCCCCATGGCGGTCCGTGGGCCCCGCGTCCACCTGCGCCCTACGCCTCCTTCGTCTAATGGCGGTCCCTCCTCCTCCTCCTCCTCCTCCTCCTCCTCCTCCTCCTCCTCCTCACTTCCTCCTCCTCCTCCTCCTCCTCCTCCTCCTCCTCCTCCTCCTCCTCCTCCTCCTCCTCCTCCTCCTCCTCGTCCCTCCTCCCCCACCCCTGGCCTACTCTCGTCCTCCCCTACTATTATCCGCTCTGCGTCTCGACGCCGCGCGTCCTCCTCACTCCGTCTTCCTCCTTGTTTTCCTGCTCCCTTCCCGTTCTCCCCCGCCTGGGGTAACGCCCGGGCGGTCTCCTGAGCACGGGAAGCGCACAGGCGGTTTTCCTCCGCCCGGATGGCTTTCATGGACGCGGTTGTCCAGGGCCTGCCGGGAGAGACCGTGGCCTCGCTGGAAGCCAAGCCTGGGGATTCGTGAGAGTGGCCCCTCGCCGACGCGGTCGTCGGTGCGCGGTGTCCAGGGGCGAGGGAGGGCCCAACCAGGCACGCCGGCCGTTGCTGCCACACCGCATGCAATGATCGGCAAACCACGCACCAGGGGTCACCCTTGCCTTTAGTCGGGCCTGTCCCTCTACAGGAGAAATATCCAAGAGTAGTCAACAAAATAGTCTGGTGACGATACCTTGGCTATTCATTTGATGATTTGCTTGTTTTTCTGCCAGCATCCGCCTGTGGGAGGACATGCCCGAGCTAACCCTTGCCCTGGCTCATTCTTGCGTGCAGCTGGCTGTGCATCGCCTCCGTCGCCCGCGCACGTGCTTCTGCAGGCGGACCGGCAGGCTGTGCGGCGGGTGGTCCTTCGGGCACACCGCTCCAGGCCTCCAGGCACAGCTCGGCAGCAACGAAGGCGGAGGAGGAGGAGGAGGAGGAGGAGGAAGAGGAGGAGGAGAAGTGAGAGGAGGAGACGATGGCGTGCTCAACAACCCATTGCCTCAGCTGAACCAGCAACGCGAGGGCCTTGCGCTGGGGCTGGCGCGAGGCTGGCGAGTGGTCTGTTCCTCTTCGTCGCGCTCCGCGTTCTCCGCTGGGCGTCTGCTTCGTCCTTTCGCTTTCTCATTTTTTGTTTGGTTGTTTTTCTTCCGCCATGCCCTCCTCCCTTCTGCCTCCTCCCCTGGTCCCTCTCCCCTCTGTCCCTCCACTCTCCCCCCCTCGCCCTCCGCCTCACGCCATCGTCGTCGTCCTTTCCCCCCTATGTGCTGAAGCTCCGGCTGACCCCTATCCCATTATTATATCAACCAGAAGTGCGAACGAGCACCGCGCGTTCCGCTTGTACCTACTGGCCTGCATGTCTGTAGAGGCAATGCGAAGCACCGCGCTTCCTCTACTACATGCCGCCGTGGCTCACGATGCTGGTTCATTGACGTGGCTGCTCATCTGCGTGCCCAGCCATGCCACTAGATGGCACTATTCTCCACGACGCGCTGGATTTGGGAAAGCACCCTTGCCGCACGCTGCTGTCCGACAGGCATCCGCTGAAATGCGTGCTCCCACTCCTCCTCCCCCGCCCCTCCCGCCTTTTCTCGCTCCACCGTTTTGTCTCCACCGTTTTTTCCCGCTGCTCTGGCAGGCGAACCAATCATGTCTGAAAGAGGGGCAGTCGGCAAGCATGTTTCAAGCTCGCATTTCCAGGACCCCCCGGCTTCGTGTGTTGCCACACTTAGGCGTCGTGACGGATGTCTCACTATTTGTTGTTTGTTTCTCTCCCTCTCTCTCGTTCTCGTTCTCTCTCTCTCTCTCTCTCTCTCTCTCGCTGTTCTTCTCTCTATGTGTATGTATATGCCTATTTCTTGTTGCTCCGATTTTTCCCAACCATCCTGTGGTGTTGGGTCCTCGTTTTAAAGAGACGGTGCCCCGCGTCTCCTTCCTCCTCTCCTCCTCCGCCTCCTCTCCTCTCCTCCTCTCCTCCCCTCCTCTCCTCCTCTCCTCTTCACCCACCCAGTACACCGCTTCGTGGCTCCATAGGGAGCTCCACCGAAGGCCCCAGTGCCCGCGCCCGCATGCGTCACCCACACCCATTTCGGCACACCCCTCACACGTTCGTGGCTCCATAGGGAGCTCCACCGAAGGCCCCAGTGCCCGCGCCCGCATGCGTCACCCACACCCATTTCGGCACACCCCTCACACGTTTCGTGGCTCCATAGGGAGCTCCACCGAAGGCCCCAGTGCCCGCGCCCGCATGCGTCACCCACACCCATTTCGGCACACCCCTCACACGTTTCGTGGCTCCATAGGGAGCTCCGCCGAAGGCCCCAGTGCCCGCGCCCGCATGCGTCACCCACACCCATTTTCGCCCCTCACACGTTTCGTGGCTCCATAGGGAGCTCCGCCGAAGGCCCCAGTGCGCCCCGCCCCGCATGCGTCACCCACTCACACGTTCATTCCACACACAAATTCGGCACACCCCTCACACGTTTCGTGGCTCCATAGGGAGCTCCACCGAAGGCCCCAGTGCCCGCGCCCGCATGCGTCACCCACACCCATTTCGGCACACCCCTCACACGTTTCGTGGCTCCATAGGGAGCTCCACCGAAGGCCCCAGTGCCCGCGCCCGCATGCGTCACCCACACCCATTTCGGCACACCCCTCACACGTTTCGTGGCTCCATAGGGAGCTCCACCGAAGGCCCCAGTGCCCGCGGCCGCATGCGTCACCCACACCCATTTCGGCACACCCCTCACACGTTTCGTGGCTCCATAGGGAGCTCCACCGAAGGCCCCAGTGCCCGCGGCCGCATGCGTCACCCACACCCATTTCGGCACACCCCTCACACGTTTCGTGGCTCCATAGGGAGCTCCACCGAAGGCCCCAGTGCCCGCGCCCGCATGCGTCACCACACCCATTTCGGCACACCCCTCACACGTTTCGTGGCCCATAGGGAGCTCCACCGAAGGCCCCAGTGCCAGCGCCCGCATGCGTCCCCACACCCATGTCGGCACACCCCTCACACGTTTCGTGGCCCATAGGGAGCTCCACCGAAGGCCCCAGTGGCGGCGCTCACATGCGCATGCGTCCCGCACACCCATGTCGGCACATCCCTGACAGGTGTCGTGGCCCCATCATCCACCGGAGGCCCCAGTGGCGGCGCTCACATGCCACCCACACCCACCCAATTCGGCACACCCCTCACACGTTTCGTGGCCCCATAGGGAGCTCCACCGAAGGCCCCAGCGGCCGCGCTCACATGCGTCCCCGCCACCCATCCCGGCACGCCCCTCACAACAACAGGTTTCGTGGCCCCATGGGGAGCTCCACCGAAGGCCCCAGTGCTGCCGCCCGCATGCGTCACCACCCGCACCCAATTCGGCACACCCCTCACACGTTTCGTGGCCCCATAGAGAGCTGCACCGAAGGCCCCAGTGGCGGCGCTCACATGCGTCCCCGCCACACATCCCAGTACACCCCTCACGCGCTTCGTGGCCCCATAGGGAGCTCCACCGAAGGCCCCAGTTGCGGCGCTTACATGCGTCTCCGCCACCCATCCCGGCCCCCCCCCCCCGCAGCAGCATCATGTTTCGGGGACCCATAGGGAGCTCCACTGGAGGCCCCAGTGGCGGCCCGCACATGCGTTTCCGCCACCCATGTCGGCACGCCCCGCACGTGTTTCATGTCCCCATAGGGAGCTTCGCCGAATGCCCCAGTGGCACCCATCTCGGCACACCCCTCACACGTTCCGTAATCCTATGGGGAATTCCATTGAAGATGAAACCCGCAGCTGCGGTACTGACAACTGCATATGGTTGGGTTCTTCGCCCGTTTTTTTTTTTCTCTCTCTCTCTCTCTCTCTCTTTCTCTCCCTTCCCATCTCTTCCCATCTCTTCCCATCTCTCGCTCACACTTTCCCTCCACGTATCCTCACCCCTTACTACGTCCACTATCCTCCATGTGCTCGTCACG